TGGTAATGTGACAGACTGAATCTATCTATTCAATTTTGTAAAAATCAGTTGGTCTCAATTGATATTTCATCACTTCTTAAGATCCGTTTAATTCTTTTGACGAAAAAAAAAAGAAGAAAAAAAAAAGAAAATGACCCAAAGATGTCCTGTGTGATATAAATATAAAACTGGGGGTATAGCACATGCACCAAAAGTACAATTGTAGCACTGAAGGGGTTAAAAATATCCCTTCATTGTCTGCCTTTAGGCCAGAGACTGAGCTCAGCTAAACTTACCAGTTGTACCTACAGACACGGCCTCCAACACGGTCTGCAACAACAACAACAAACAGTGTTAGTCTCTAGTGCACGAGTCTGCAACTAAAATTTATAAAAGGTCCAGTTACATAAAACTCCTTGCTTACCAAAGTCTGGATAGGTAACTAATAACGGTTACATCTTAATGCTTAACCATTAATCATTAGTTTATGACTATAAAGAAGATAATTTAATAGGATTACATTTTGTTTCGTAGTGGCACTTCAACTGTTCAACATCGCCACTTTTGTGACACTTGGAGTGTCCCAAAAATCTCCAACCAAAGAGGAAAATGAACACCTTTTTTAGCAAAATGTCTTCCAAACGTTTTCACACTTAAGCTTATGTTGCCAAACTTATTAACCCATTCAAAAAGTCTGCAAGTGTTGCAGACCAACCAAGAAATACACATCCACGACCATCCACTGACGTGGTGCTGATATACAGTACATAGTCCCATGTACGGAGAGATCTGGGACACCCTGTAGTGCCACGGACTCTGAACGGAGTTTTAACGTGAACCAGGAAGAACCAAACAGTGAAAACTCTCCTTCTGAGCTAACGCCACTAGCCCTGTAATTAGTCTTTGGCCCGATGAGCTGTCTTCAGGTAAATTATTGACATAAATGCATGTATTTGGATAAAAACTGTAACAGAGGATACGATACAGAAATGGGTGTCTGCAGATCATCAGATATTTTTCCTCTCTGCTACAGTATTTCCAAAAGAAGCCTCTGCATCCAGATCTATCAGGCTATGAATCCTTACACATTCTACACTTTTCAGTCTACTACACATGAACGCAAAGGGGAAGGTAAACAGCAGGCTCTACTCACAAATCCCAGGAGTAAATAGAGGTTGATGGGATGCTGGTGGCGATAAATAGCCAGAGCAATGATCAAAAACAGAGATCCAACTGCTGACAGCAAGACCAGTAAGGGGCTGTGGAAAGAAAACAAAGGACAAAAGACTCAATAACATGACGTTCATGTCATTCGGTCAGCGTAGTGCCCCGTACGGCGTCCGTCATTCGGTCAGCGTAGTGCCCCGTACGGCGTCCGTCATTCAGTCAGCGTAGTGCCCCGTACGGCGTCCGTCATTCGGTCATCGTAGTGCCCCGTACGGCGTCCGTCATTCAGTCAGCGTAGTGCTACGCCTAAGAGCGTGTACCGAGGTAGCGTGCCAGCAGCGTACTGTGGCGTCCGTCATTCGGTCACGTAGTGCCCGTACGGCGTCCGTCATTCGTCATCGTTTTCTCCACGTAGGCCCGTACCCCCACAGCTAGGCCCGTACCGCCCACCACGTGTGCCCGCGCGTACAGTCAGCGTAGTGAACCGTACGGCGTCCGTCGTCACTTACAGCGTAGTGTAGTGAGATGTGAATGAAGTGCTCTCACCTGGAATGTACAAAGTTCTTGATGGGCTCACAGAACATAAACAGGGCAGACAAAGCCGTGGTCAGGATTATCTGCACGGACAGGATCGTGTACACTTTGCGTAGGAAATCTAGATGGAAACAAGCAACAACAAACATCGCTTAACATGAATTACCCTGCGGAGTAAACAAAAACAACAATAGAATTTGTAATGGTTTTAATGGAGATCCCTGTGGGTCTCTACTGGTAATCTGGTACCTTCTATTCGTGACATGTTATGTCTAAAGGACATGATTTGTAATGGTATTTCTAGTGGAAACCATTAGGATTGCTGTGATGGTTCCTACTGTTTGTTTGTTTGTTTTTCTCCAGCAGGGTAGTTTTGCTGATCACATGACGTCTCTGCATTTCAAAGCTAACACTAATCCACTACAGTTTTAAGCCACAATAGGCACAACTTTATCCTGGTTTATTTATTTATTTATTCATGTATATTCTGTTAAATGGTCGATATAAATATATATTCCGCTTTAATGGGTCTGTTTCTCTAGCTCAGCCCAGCTGGCCTAAATGCAGCCAGGTAGCAAGATAACGACAGCGAGCTCGATCCGTTGACTTGTTCCACACTGTTTCTCACTTACCCATGCGGATTTGTACACTCGCCGTCGCGACATTCGTGCCATAATTAAAATCATCCTCGATTGAGGAGCGAGGAAATTTTTCTTGGTTCATCTTGGCTACGTGATGTGTAAAGAGTCACTTCCTGTTTCTCTCTAGTCAGTTTTCTTTTCGGGTTTGTTTTGATAAAGATTTTATTTGCTGCCCCTTAGCGGTGGGCATGGAGTATTACAATAGTAAGTAAGGAAGTAAATAGATAGACAGACAGACAGACAGACATATAGATAGATAGATAGATAGATAGATAGATAGATAGATAGATAGATAGATAGATAGATAGATAGATAGATAGATAGATAGATAGATAGATAGATAAAACTGAGGTTCATATTACGCAAAACGGAAGCTCATATATTTTGTTGTATACAAATCAGGCAGCTCTCAGTCATTTCCTTCAAATGAACATTAGCTCTTCAGCTCTGCATCTGGTTTATATATTCGGCTTCTGTAGGCTATATGAACCAGTGTTCCCTGCTGAAAACAAACAAACAAACAAACAAACAATGGAAACCCTCATAGAATTTGTAATGGTTTTTAATGGTGATAATGGGAATTGCAGTGGAATTGCACCACCCCTACTATTAATATATTTTTTGACAAAATACATTTTATCATTCAAACTTTTGCTGTACAGTGCCTGTCTGCTCTACATCTTTCTCTTCCTTCTTACAGCCAAGTAGCTTTCATAAATAACTCCAGTATCTGAAGACAAGCTTGTACTAAGCGCTTAACATCAATAGAAGCTGTTGTTATAATTACTTTTTAGTAAGTGGAGATTATACCAAGCCATTAGCTTACAATGTCTCCCTGAAGTCTCCACTCTAAAGGATGCAGAAAGGTACACATAACAAGGAGGACCGAACTATATACTCAGATGCCACTTTGTTAGGTACAGACTGTAATCACACACCTGATTCTCTCAGTCAGTAAGTCAGATCTAACGTGTGAACAATTTAGTCAGAAGCAGTGCAAAGATTTCGACATAATGAAAGCTATATAAATAACTTAATGGTTGCACAGTAATATTGTTACCTAATGCATTAGAATTTTACAGTTTTCCTTCATGGAATGTTTGTGTTAATGTGTTTTTTGTGTGTTTGTTAATGTGGAAGATAATCCATGGTTTTCCATTCTGTAGCTGTATGGGAGGTCGCGCTGTATCCAATAGGACGAGTCTAAACCGATCACGTGACTCAGAAGTCACTAATGGTCGGTTTAATTTATTTGCTTATTTGAAGTTATTGGTTTCCAGCAGTGCAGCAGATGGCAGAAAAAGGTAAATGGTGATGTTAGTAAGGTATAGATTAGCCTGTACTACTATCAGGTTCTTTACTATACAGGAAATATTGATGGTGTGGTATTATACATATTTAGATACTTTATTTGGAAAGGCAAAATGCCTAGGCCCTCAGATGTAACGCTTATACAGTACATGAGTATAAGCTACTGCCTATGATGAGACATTTCTTTGAAAGTGATCTTTTCTAATCTGACTCCATCCCATTCACAAGGCACCCAGGCTCACTGAATGGTTTGATTAGGGTGAAAATGATGTCAATCATAAATGATCATACTTACAGTATACACCAACCAGACATAATATTAAAACCACCTGCCTAATATTGTGTAGATACCTGGTGCCAAAAAACTCTGACCTGTCGAGGCGTGGACCCCACAAGACCTCTGAAGGTGTGCTGTGGTATCTGGCACCAAATGTTAGCAGCAGATCCTTTAAGTCGTGTAAGTTGCGAGGTGGGGCCTCAGTGGATTGGACTTGTTTGTCCAGCACATCCCACAGATGCTCGATCGGATTGAGATTCGAGGAATTTGGAGGCCTTGAACTTACCTTGAACTCTTTTCATTTTCCTCAAACCATTCCTGATCAGTTTTGTGTGGCAGGGTACATTATCCTGCTGAAAGAGAACACTAGGAAATATCGGTACCATGATGGGTTGTACTTGGTCGGCATCAATGTTTAGGTAGATGGTACGTATCAAAGTAGCATCCCCATGAATGCCAGGACCCAAGGTCCTGGAAGACGGAGTATTGATCAGGAGTTCAGGGTTCTTATGGCCTGGGGGAAAACATTTGAACCCAGGTTTCAATGCTGTGAGATGAAGCAGCGTTGTACAGTGGCGTGTGAAGAATGTGGGCAGGGATGTGTCCCTGCAGGTGCGGATCTGCTGTGAATGATAAATAGTGTGAAAATGTTCATGAATTAAATGAAACGAGGCAGAAAGGCTGTTTTTGCCAAGAGGCCTTGAATCCGACACACATGCTTTAGAGCATCTTACCGTTAGATGCTCTTCTTCCTATCTTTATGAGAGGCGAAATCTCTGATAATCAATATCTCAAACCATTACACATTCCGGGGACATGCGTGTCAGGTGGCTCAGACTCTCCTGTCCACAGACTGCAAGTCTTATATATATATATATATATATATATATATATATATATATATATATATATATATATATATATATATATAAAATTATAGGCAGTTTAGAAAAGGAGCATTCTCCTGATGCACTCGTAACGTTACAGCATTTTTCAGATGCACTTATCCAGAGTGACTTACAATTATCTCATTTATACAACTGAGCAGTTGAGAGTTAAGGGCCTTGCTCAAGGGCCCAACAGTGGCAGCTTGACAGTGATGGGATTTGAACTCACAACCTTCTGATCAGAAGTCCAAAGTCTTAATCACTGAGCTACCAACAGGCGAGGTAGTGCTACATTGACATTTGGGAAAAAAATATTTGGAAAACATATTTTGCAGATTGTCTGCAATGATTAAAATCTCGTTATGCATTCAAAGCACTTTCTTGAGCTCTTAACTAGACTACCTCTTACTCGCCAGTCATGAAACTGACACCAACAAGCGGCGACTAGGATCCCCATCCGAGCTCAGGACCTCAGATTTCAGTCCCACCTAGATCTTATTATGAGTTGTAAGTCCTTTTAGCCCTTTTATGTCTTGATGCCTTATTTTCTTAGCTTTTAAAGGCTGAAGGCTCTGAATGTCCACCAGGGGGCACAAATGAATAAGGACAGCATGTGCTCAAGCGACACAGACTACTTTGCATTTTTCACACATTTGATTTGATTACACATCATCGTCTTCAGTAACGGCTCTATCCTGATAAAGGTTACAGTAAATCTGTGGTGGATCCCAGGAACACCTGGTGTGAGGCAGGGACACACCCTGTGAATGGTGCTTCAGTCCATCACAGGGTACAATGCACACCCAGACACACATTTACATCTAGGGGCAATTTAGTGTAGCCAGTCCACCTACTGGCAACACGGCAATAAGGAAATCAGCAAACCCGGACGAAACGCCACAAACACATTATCCCGAGCACAGTACCAGGATCGAACCAGGGACCCTGGAGTTGTGTGGTGGCAACACTACCTGCTGTGTCAGCCTGGCGTTCTGCTTTGATCACACTTCCACAAAAATGTGCAGCAGGTCCAGTTTCATACCTAGTCAAGACTTATTTGATCCTTCGGCTTAATTCATAGTAACGTCGCCATCTAAGACAGGCATAAAATTGCGATTTGTCTCAAGCTCTTGTACTTTTCTGGCCACAACCTTCAGGATCTTGAAGGTGGCAATATGATTGGTCCACACTTCCTTGTGCTGGTTTCCAACAGAAAACCTTTCAACAGTGACAAAACAAGCTTTTCGAAGCACAATATAGTCACATGGTATCCTGTCTTATGACGTTAGTTATTTAAGAATTTAGTTTAAAACCGTGAAAGCTAGAGGTCTGGATTGTGGGACTGGCTTTGAGGGTAATTAATGACCTATTAACAGGCCAGTGGTGTAAGAAAGTAGAAATAAATACAAGAACTTTCTCCTTTATTACTCTTACAGAAAAAATACGTCTCACCAGGTTTCCTAATTAAAAATAATAAAGGAACCCTACATATACATCCGGATTGTAACCTTTGAGATTTCGTAACAACCACACAATCCTTTCACAAGGGCTTACATTTTTGTAAAGGTAAAATTAAGAGAAAAATCTTTGTTTCATGTGTGCTGAAAGATGCAAAAATGTCCAAAAGTGTCAATCAAGAACCAGAACACTTCAGCAGGATTAGTCCACTCTGTACATCTTTTTATTGTTTCTCTTTTTGTTGGCCATATAAAGGTTTACAGCTGTAGGAATCCCCAAAGTTATACATAGACGATAAATATCATGCTAACAAAGTATTAAATTTGTACAAAAATACTTTACAGCTCATAATGCCTGTCCATTAGAAATAAAAATACAATATTTCAGGGACCTAACAGTGAAATTGAGTCATTAATTCATCATACAGTGAAAATGGATACCCACTATTTTAATTGGCAGTGCTTAAATCCACATAAAATGATTATACAACATGGAAAAACAAAAACAAACAAAAAAAAAACTCGGCCATCAACAAAATACACGTGCATGTCTCTACACATTATTTGCAGTGCTAAAACATGGAAAAGCTGAGTACCGGACGTCACAAGGCTTGACCATGATAGGCAAAAGATTTCATGAGAGCGACATGTCAAAATGATGTCAAAAAATTACAACAGAAGATCTCAAATCCAGTGCATGAGATCAGGGAATGAACCCGTACCTGAAGGAACAGAACACAGTTCTCCAGAATCAAAAAAGTCTCTGTAAAGAAATGCCAGGTGAGCATCACCCTGATGAGGGTCAGGAATTCGATTGGACCGATCATGTGCCATTTTAAATAGTGAGTAGTCAAGAGTGTGTGAACACAGACAAGCCACAGTTCACACGTGTGTACACACACACACACACACACACACACACACACACACACACACACACAGGTGAAGTATGTGCTGCCATAAGCAGTAGTTTTACCATTTATAACGTTTTTATTTATTTATTTTTCTGAACAGAGCTACAGAGTTTTTTTAATTTATTTATATGTATATGAAATGTTTCCTTGAACGATGAACGATGTTCTGCCACACAGAACCTCATTCTCACATGATTTAACACTCAAGTGCCACTGTCTTTTTTTTTGTTGTTGTTGTTGTTTCTCTTTACAAATAGTTTGTACACCCTTTGGGCTAATGCCCTCTGGAGAAAAAAACTAAACAAAACACATTAAACATACAAAACCATACCAGTACCACATACAGTAGATTAGCATAAGTTGATATTCACTTAAACAAGGGAGGACTACAGACTAGAAGTTGTTTTCGGGCTTGCTCGCTTCTCTCAACTTCATGCTTCCTTTTTTTTTTTCTTTCTTTCTTTCTTTTTTTTAAAATAAATATTAGGAGTGGTTAAAAAAGATTCTCCAAACAGTTATAAAACCATGTCTGGAATGAAGATTTCTGTATTATGCTGACACATTGTGTTACCTTGTAATGGGTCTGGCTGATGTAGGACTGAGCTCAGCAACACTTCAAGGCCCTTTGACACCGATCCCATTCTCCATCGTCCAGAACAGGCATGAGAGGAGACGGATTTGGGACGCTCTGGACTGGATATTTGGTCTCTCTGCTTTGTGCTACCAGTGGCCATTTCCAAAAAGCGACACAAAGCCTGGGGGTTTCTGTTCTGCCTGCACCATACACGTAACAAAGACTCCAAAACCAAAATACATCATCTTTACACTATGTCTTCCCAATCATCTTAGAGTAGTAAGGCGAGCTGATTGCTTAATGCATCTTTTCCATCACTCAGGCTTCACACATTACTCATTGCTCATTTATAAACCATTTGCCTCGACTAATAAAAATAGACCTCTGTCCAGTTCTAAGATAAGGTGCCTAAGGTAAGCACCACCTCTTTAACATCATGGTGAAATGATCATAACTCACTATGAAATTAAGGTTCAAACATTTGTATGGATTTCACTCAGGAATCAAATGATGACCTTTGTTATTGATGTTTTGTTCTTTTTCGAGTGTTTTTTTCTTCTTCTTCTGTACAGTCACAATTCAATCATTATAAAATAGTACTCAAAAGGTGTCATGCATTGTGCCACCCAACCCACCGGGGCTGACTAGCATTTTACCATTTTAGGAAAATCAGGTTCACGGTGCTGAGCTCGTGCTGAGCGCTTTTTCCTGCTGAGTGAGGCATCAGGTGGCATCACTTGTGAGGAATTACCGGGGGGATCCACTATACACAAACACACACACACACACACATACATACATACATACATACAAAAGTAAGGAGCAAGAGGAGGTGTGCAGGAGACAAGGAGAACAGCTGAGGTTAGAACAAACAGAATACAGAATGTGAAGATTGCTCTGGCCGTGACTCACAGAAGGAAGTCCTGTTTACTCATACGCACATACACACACACACGGCTATGTACACTCCCACACACACACACAGCGGCCAGTCTATAATCATGTGTAAACGTCTTAAAGATTCCCTTTGCTTCATTTGCTTCATTTTTTTTCCTGTTAAAACGTTTATTGGCAATAAAAACGAGGGATGGCACTGGTTCAGTTTTGGATTTTTAGATCACTTTCTCAGAGGTCAGTACGGCCTCCCACTGTAATCAGTGTCATTTTCACAGGAGTAAACACACAGGCAGCAGGTTGTGGGGAGGTTCCCTCTCAGTGTGTGTGGCTCATGCTGTGGCTCAGGGAAGAGACTGGGTGTGCTATGTGCCAGAAGAGCTCCAGCTCTCTCCAGCAGGGGGGTGGTGAATGTCGGGAAGAGTTCACTTAGCACCATGAGGAGCACTTGAGCCTGTGCTGGGGAGGGTGAGATGGGGTTCTGCTATAAAGTCTTGTTGAGATCTCTGCCCTCTGACCCCACCAGCTTGGAGTTCTGTTGGGCCGCTTCCTGTGGGAGGGGCTCGGCTGGGTCAGTCCAGCCTACAGGCTCCTCACCAGGAAGCTGGTTCAGTTCTGTGGGCGAGGTTGAGGCTGACGCCGGGTTTCGGCTGATCACCAGGTCCAGCTTGTTCCCCGATTCTGCGATCAGAGGAACCACCAAGCAGCAGTCAAAGTCTCTAGTACGGACATGGTTGATCTGTAGCAGGAAGAAAATGTCACCAACAGCTTCAGATCAAGGACGTGCAAGAACTAAGGATTTCTGGATATGAAAAACCGTCAGGCAAATTTTTGTTTCATTTTTATTTTGTTGTTTCTAAACTCTAAAATTATTGTAATAATAATCAAAAGTCATCGTTAAGTTCAGGCTGGAAATAAATGTGATGAAATAAGCAGAGAGGGCTAAGTGTCTTGCTCAAGGGCCCAACAGTGGCAGCTTGGCAGCACTGAGTCTTGAACCCCTGACCTTCTAATCAATAACCCAGAGCCTTAACCACCAAGCCACCACTGCCCCAGGATTAGCATTAGCTGATCAGTAACACCGTTATTAGCATTTACTTATCGGTGTGTTATACTGTTTTCTACATTCCTGCATAGTGTTACAGGATTCCTTAGATTCCTTTTTCACCGTTAGTTATTTGCGTGTAGTGGTTAAAAATTAAAGTCCTCTTATTATTTTAAGGTAGACATTTGGTGAGACTTGTAATATATGATGTCCATACTGTGCACTATTTGACTGACAATGGTTTTATTACCAGCAAAGTATGTGCTGAAGATATAAAATGTGCATAAAATGCCCTATTCAAACTGCTCATGAGTATGAATTACAGTGACATTTATCAAATGAATAATAACATTTACACATTTCTGGAGGCTGCTGATGTAGAAGTTGTTCAAATT